CTCAGCAGGTACCCCCCCCCCATTGCCCCCCCACCCATCGCCGATAGCGCCGGCGGTCTTATCGTCTAGGTTGGCCGACGTTTCACTCAATCCTTGCCAAAGGAATCGATCATTTACGTCGGTCTATTCACATTCCCCTTCTGGTAGGGTGTCGCCGACATCGGGCCAACATGGGTCCGCCCCTCGGTCCGAGCCGCCTTCGCAAAACCTCACGAGGAGCAATAGCGAGGAGGATCGATCGGGAAGAAACTCGACGGAGCACGTTGACTTGGATCCTGCCGAGTTTGCGGAGCTCAACCGCGTTCCCAGCTATGCAACGGCTGTCCGGACACCGGCGTGGTCTCGGACGCAACCCGCAGCCGGACTTGTTCCGGATTACCAAACTGCGTTATATGCGCCTCGTACTCCTCCGGCCACGGATATTACTCTTGAGCCGTTGAGCACCATATCTGAGGACCGGTCGGATGAAAACCGTGGTCTGACCAGTGCACCATCCAATCTTTCCACCGTTGTAGCGAACCCGGGCAGCTCGTGACCCATCATGTCGAGTCACACGGTGTGCTGGCTGCAAGTTTAGCCGTCGTTTGTTATTATTATCATGACTTATCTTGCTTTGTTTCTATTGGGCCTAAAACCTTGCCCCTCCCAGCAGAGGCATTGGAAGTATCGTCAATGGCGGTTTATCAAGATACACGGCGTTGGAGGCATGTGACAGTATTATCTTTCTTTTCATGGCATTTTGTTGCTTGGGAAGCGACAGCATTTACCACTTTTGGCGTTGTTGATTGGGTTTATTGGATGTGGTATCTATGATTTTTTGGATATACTTCAAAAGGGGGTAGGAGAAGAACAAAGAGGTGAGAATACCACGGAAATATCATCGGGAGACTTTTGTAATGTGTACCTGGGCTACCCTGTGTAATGCATATTAAGTTGTGCTAGGGCGAGAGACGATAGACGGGAGTTAGTTATAGTACACTGAATGCTAGACTCCCCTTACGAGGACTGCTTCAATCCTCTGTATGTTCCCTCTTCAAACTCAGATTCGGTTTTGAACTGATGTAGAAGTGATGACGCCAGTCGTATGGTAGACCTAATCGGCCGGAATGGAGGAGTCAGGGTATAGTACAGTACACCAAAGCATTTTCAAAGTGCAATCAAGGTTACTTGCCAAGAAACACACCAGCCCAACTATAAAGTGCCGAGAAGCAAGTACCTTGGTCCATGTACTATAACCATGGCCCGATCTGCGACGTTTGGACGGTGGAGCTTGCCGACACCACCAATTGTCTGTCTGGCGCTGCATGGAAAAACGCTGTCGCATGATCTCGAGACACGGACGACGCAAGCCAACTGCACCGAGTGTGTTGCTTTCAAAAAGAACGACGGACTTTTCCGTGCAGAGAACGACTGTATCATTCGCCAGCTTGGGAGACCGCATACCTGGTCGCTTAGGATCCTAATCCAGCTGAGCTGTGCAGATTGGCGGGTCTGAGCTGTGATGCCAAAAAAAAGAGAGAAGAGACATTGATAGCTGGTCCCTGAATTATGGGGCCGTGGACGCTGGGGGTGCTGAGACGCTCCAGATATCTGCCGTTGACGTCACAATTTACAACTGACTCCCTAGTTCAGGCTCAAGGGGGGAAGGGGCCCGTTGCTGACCGTTGCTTGAGCCAAGATGTTGATAAATACGGTTCGAGGACCCTGCTTTTCAACACCATTCGGCACATCACGACACTTGTTGGAATCTGCCTCGGTTCTTGTTTGGGATTTCTCTTCATTCTTCATAGTTCTTTTCTTGTACAACTTGGGCCCCACGGCTAATTGGTGAGTGAGCTTTCCGCGGCTGCCCCTCTCTATCATATCTCATTTGCTCCCCGCTCCCTTCAAGCTATTTCTTGATTTTAAACACTTGGCCTGCGGCAGCCCTCAACCGGTTTCTGGTGACCTAGTTCTGGACCATTGTCAGGTGCCACTTCTTGGCTCGATTGTGGTGCTCCCTAGCTTTCCCCCTCCCCCCTTTCCAACCGCCCCCATCCAACACATGTGAAGACGCTATTCTCCCCACGAGTTCGGCAATTGCATCGTCATACTTGAGCACGGCGCTTGGAGGACCTACCACTGTCCAGTTGCATTTCTCCACCGTCACCACCGAGGCGCCAACCAAACAACCTTGCATCGCGCCTCATCTTGCACGTTTCTCAAACATAGTCGAGTCGCTGCTCACCGCTAACCCTTGTCCCGCTTTCTGGGTATCCTATCCTAGCTTTAATTTCACTCCACACCCCTCGAAGCTCTTCTGAATCGGATTTCCGTTCTCCCTCGTCCCATTTCGAACTGTCATTGTTGTCTCCCAACTTGCGAAGCCATGGCGTCTCCCATTTCTCCAACTTCCACGACGTTGCCGTCGCGCGCTGCTACGGGCATGAGCGGGCATACTGAGGATGCTGTCCCCGACTTTGATCCCAATACCGTAGGTGGGCTCTGTTGAGTGCGAAGCCGCTGTACTGGTTATTGGCGCTTCGACGGAGAAGTGGGCGATAGACTGACCCGATGTTAGACTGCAGGACTGCTTGCCGAGCGTTTACAGGCGTGGAAGCATGCTTGCGGCTACCTTGAGGAATATGTGACTGCTGTCGAGAAGATTCACGGCCGCCAGGCCAAGGAGTACGAGAAGGCCTTGAAGGTTCGACATGGCCAAGTGACCGCTGATGCTTGGAGAATGTACCCGCTGACTTGTATCGGCAGACCATCTCCAACCCCCTTCGTGAGGGCCATCATTTTGACCAGAGCCTAGGAGGCATTGCAGGATTCTTCGAAAACATGCGCTCCAACACGCAGGCCCAAATTAATACCAACATTGAGACTGAGAAGAGCCTCAAGGGCTCTGTTTTACCCATCCTCGAGCGTCTCCACAAGGAAATCAAGCACAAGGCCAAGGAGCTCCATAGCGGTGCTCAGAGCAGCGCCAAAGAGGTCGAGAAGCTGCGCAACATCACACAGAAGCAGATCGAGCTCCTGGGCCAGCAGACTGCCTCCTACGACTCTGCTGGTGGCAAGCTCCATGCTGGCGATGATCCCTATGTCATTCACCGAGGTGTGATGCACCGGCTGAGCAACCAGGTCGTTGCTGAGAACAACCACCACAACGACCTGATTGCCGTCCAAAACAACTTCCAAACGTTTGAGGCACACGTCATCGAAGTCTTCCAGCAGGCCGTGGAGGCGTTTGTCCAGCTTGTTGGAGGTCAAGGCGAGAAGACCCGCGCCCTGTATAACGACATGTTAGGCACTATTCAGTGTGTCCCCGTCAACTTTGAGTGGCAGAACTTTACGCAGCGTTGTTCCGATAGATTGGCCAACCCGAATGATCCGCCTCGTGCCGTGGATGCGATCCAGTTCCCTAACATGGACCACGCGTCGACCAAGCCCCTGATCGAGGGCTCCCTGGAGCGCAAGTCTCGCAACAAGCTGTCCTGGGGCTACTCAACGGGCTACTACGTCGTCACGCCGGCCAAGTGGCTTCACGAGTTCAAGGACTCGGACGACTCCCGCAAAGATCCCAAGCCGGAGCTCTCTCTCTTTCTACCAGACGCAGTAATCGGCACCCCCAGTGGTGAAAAGTTCAACGTCAAGGGTAAAGACAGGAGCGGCACCATGAGCTCCAAACTCACCGGCAGCACAGAACTCGCCTTCAAGGCCCATTCAGCCGCCGACGCGCAGAAATGGTTCCATGTCATCCAGCAAGTATGCGGAGCCACAGGCCCGGCTGAGCCGGCGTCGCCTACTCCGTCATCACCCGCCACAGCCACGTCGGCCACCATGTCCCCGTCCGTGGGAAAAGCTGGTGAGAAGACCAGCGACGAGGTCGAAACGAACCCGGCTGTGGCCTCGCCTCAGGAGAACAAGGCGGATGCTTTGGCTGCGGCTACGACTGCAGCAGGCGGCCACAAGGCCCAAGAGGCTGGCGTGACGGGCGGTGAGGCCGTATCGAGTCCTTCTGACGAGAAGCCAGCAGTTGCATAGCGAGGCTGAGAAGAAAAAAAAACCGTGTGTGGGATTGCGAATGTTGTCTCATTTACGTACTTGGTGCGTGTGATGGAGGGTCAAGAGCTAAAGGCGCAGTGCTTGATGCTTGAACAATGGTACACCATAGTGCGCTTATCACGCTTATGAAGTTGGGCTTTTTACAGTTATCGACACCGCTACTTAATTTACATAATGCAAACTGCTTCCAAACATGCTTGTTTCAACTGTTGGTTTGAGTGGTAGTTGGAGCAAAATCGGCAAAGTCAAAGATGCATATTCCGTCCAAGTTGGGTATGCGCCAAGGGGGTCCAGTCAGGCTCAAGGTCGAACTTGGGCAACTGCTTGATGTCTTCTCTCTCTCTCTCTTCCTCTCTCTCTCTTTTTTTTTAGCCCCATGTACCAGAGTACCTTTGGCGCAGAACAAGGCCGGACGAAAAAGACCCGAGCCATGCAACCGCGACTGCAACAAGTAAGAGGTGTGGTGTATCAAGCGGCCAACAATGTCGCGCCACGAGTATGGTGGTAACACGGGCGACACGTTGGGCCGTGTGTCACTGCCACTGTTGGAAAAAGGGAGAAATGGCGTGTTCGTTTGCTGATTTTTCCCGTGGGTCTCTGCTGATTCGACTTGGTCTCTCTCGTCTCATGTCGATTGGGGCTGGCGGTAGTTGAAGACGGGTTCTATGCTGAGGGCGTCACTGCCACGAGGCGACCAAGGGCTGCGTATGCTAGCCTGGGACCCGGCAACGTCATAGGGGCGCTTGCTAACCGTTTCGTCTGTGACGTGCGAGGTTTTTTTTTTGTTTTTTGTTTTGGCGTCGCCGCTGACCTGGGGTTCCGTTTGCTTACGGTACATGGATACGGGTACCTCTTCTTGTTTTACTCCCCCGTGAAACAGTTGAAAGCCACTGCATGCTACTTGGCCTTTTTGCTGGCTGGGTCGCGCGAGTGTCCTCGTGCTCGGTTGGATGCGTGGGTTTCTGATACGGGAGGTAGTTGGGGTAAGCGCGTTGTGCGGAGAGAAAAAAAAAGGAGCTATCTTGTCGCAAATCACCGCGCTCAGCTTGTCTTTTGCTTCTTCACCGATATTTGGAAACGAACTGAGAAGGGGGGATGGAGTTGAGAAAAATATACTGTCAAACTATCGGTATGGGAGAGGCTGTGTTTGGATGGCCTATCGGAGGCCGGAGTCTTGACAGAAGATTGACGTTGATGCGACGCTCTGCATCACGAGGGGTCGTCGGTCTGGGTGCGGAATGAGTACGATGGTGTCTCTGTGCAGAAGTAGGGGGCCCATTATGGCGGCCGGCCAGGTCGCGGCCGGCCAGGCTTATGCCTCGTTCTCGTTGTCCCGCCTTACCGTGGGAGACCAGAGATGATGGCGATGGATGATAGATGGTGAGAGGGAGGAAAAAAAAGGCAACAAGGGGGCTCATGTTCTTTTTTGGTGAGTGAGGGAGGAGGATGGCAGCGTTGGGTACAGATCCCAGGTGGTTTGACTTGATATAAATTCTGCTTTGGCCTCCTCCTTCTCGCTGGATTTGAGGACTTGACGAACAACAGACAGGTCTTTTGCTCTTCTTTTCTCACTTTCTTCTCGTCGTTGGACACTTTTGCCAGAACATCGTCATTGTCAGCGCTTCTTTTCACGATGGCTCCGCTTCCATGGGACCAGTACAAGGACATCATCATTAGGCTGTATGCGCGGCATACGCTTGATGAAGTGGTGACCATGATGATTGACAACTACCACTTCAAGGCCAAGTACGTTTCAACTACTACACCATCCGAACTGGCATGGCATGTTTCACATCACAGGGATAGTTGTATTTGACGGAACACGTTGGACAATTGCGCATATATCCAGAGGCTAACTCGTTTGTTTTTGGCTGTGCATAGTGCTCGAACCTATCAAAAAAAGTTCGATGAATGGGGTGTAGGCAAACGGATGAACAGTCGTAGCCGACAGTACGTCATCATGCCGGACGGGGAATATGTGTCGACCAACTCGCATAGGGAGAGCAACTCCGACATGACGGCATCGGTTGACGTGACGGCATCGGTTGACGTGACGGCATCGGTTGACGTGACGGCATCGGTTGACGTGACGGCATCGGTTGACGTGACGGCATCGGTTGACGTGACGGCATCGGTTGACATGACGGCATCGGTTGACATGACAGCAGCGTCTTCTTCTGCGTACACTGAACCGGGCAGCCTCTACTCCTATATGGAAGTGGCCACTTATGCCCCTGATAGTGATCTTTATCAGAGCGGACAGGGACAGTTTGGTTATGGAATGAATATGCCTGATACCGGACAGTTTGATGTATCTCAACTGCTTTCGTCTCAGGTTGCAGAGGAGCACTATCCCTTGACCACGAATAACCAGGTCGGGGGGACCTCTGCCTCGCCTCCTCATGCAGAGCCCCAGGTTCAGCCTGCAGACCACAGGCCAACGTCCACTGCTGCCACTTATCAGCAGGTTGGCCTCTGGACTGACAATCAGTCACCACGACCCGAGAGCATTCTTCAGTCTCATCGTTCGAGCAGAAGCCACCACTACAGTTCTAGGTCCAACAGGTCCCGAGACTGACGGGTATACCAAGTCATCCGTGAAAGTGGCAGCCCGGAAGCAGAGAGGCGAGCGTGGATAGGTTGGGGTAGATGACGGGTTAAGTTGATAAGCCTTTCAAACCCGATAGCACTCTACCGGCAACACTTGTTGAACATGTTTGGTGCATTTGGGGGGTTACCGTGTCTTAAGGACATGACATGCAAACATTCACTCAAATAGAGAGAGCCAGAAACGTAGAGTCATAAAGCATTCGTTATCATAGACTAGATAGATTCCTTCTGGTACGTCAGTCGTTATTTGCGCAGTTTCGCTGCTTACCAAGTTGCCTGCCTACTTAGGCAAGTTCCTTGTTTACTTCATTACCCCTATTAGCAGTTAGCTCAGGTTTACATTTGAACCATTTGAACCAAATTAAGTGTTAACTTGTAGGGATTTCAGTGGAAGGTGCCTTGTCACAGGCGTTGTCATCAATGCATATGGCTAAGTTGACCGTCGTGATATTTGTAGCATCATATAAACAGAGTGATGGAAGTCAAACAATAATAACTTACTTGGTAACCAAAGCTTCGCAGTCTCACTATTCTTTTGCAAGTCAGCGAAACATCCTACGCCCAAGATAGCATCATAAGATGGAGATATCAAAGCAGTCAGAAAAAGATGCGGATGATGTGTCGTCGTAGCCGAAGCTCAGACATATGCTTGTCATTTTCATTCGCGTTCATCAGGCTGAGGATGCACCGCGCGTGCAATTGCAGGCAAGACTGACCACTAAAGATACTTTCATGTGTTAGTATGAGCATCCACTATAATGCAACGTGTAAATGATATGCGAGGTATATCAGGAAAGCATGAATGGTAAAAAAGAATATGGTGTCTGCATCGAAAACTCGAATAAGACTCGTCATCTGTTTCATCATAAGAGGACACTTTGTGTAAATGCGGTGTTGGTAGCTTACCTTCAAGCTCAATTCAACAGAAGCATGTGACATATGATCTAGTAGACACTACGAAGGCATTAGTCCGTCTGACTCGACCGACAAGACAAAAGCAGGTGTGAAGGTGCCGGGTCAGTGGGCGAGGTTTTCTAGGCCTGCCGCAAAGTGGCTTTTCTTGCTCATGGATGTTTTTTTTCGGAGCCCAGTGCCGCTTCATCACAAAAGGCTGATGCAGTGCGATGCGCGTATAATTGTGCATACAATTGTGCATACCTTGTCTAAAATTCTTCAAGCAAGTTAGCGATTGCCTCATCCATCCGTGCAACATAAACAGAGTATCATATGGAACAATCAGATATAGCCATTTTATATCTTCAATGAAAGATCTCAGCCGGTAATTTCCAGCGTATATTTATAAAGAATTGATCATCAGGAACCAAGATAGCACAACCACAATGTAACGTACCAATTATTCGGAGGGACGACGACAGTCCGTCGGTCCCGTCCACCCATGATCCACGACATCCACTTGGAGACGGATAAGCCTTGAGGTCAATGTTAGCACCAATGCTTTCTTAGTCAAGTGCGCGCTTGTTGAAATTTTCACGGCTGTAAGATAGCTTCTTTCAGACTGACGTGTAAAAAATTGAGTTTTCATTCCGAGTGGTCAAAGACTCTAGTTTGCGGTTTATGTTTGTCATCAGGAAGTTAACGCGAGGGCTATGCAAGCTGATTTGCCAAACTTACCATTTGCTCTGGGTGCGGAATGCGATGAAGAGGTGAAGGAAGGGTTGGGAAGAAAAAAAAAGCTGCGTGAACAAATATGACTTTAGTGTGGAGATGGCGGTGGAGTGGGTAGCTTTGGCTAACGTAAGCAGATCACGGGGTTTCGTGTCAGCAACGTGACAGAACAGGGGTTCTCTACAGGGCGTAAATTGAAGAGTCAGCTTTTGGCTCCAGAAGCCAATATTTTCGAAATTTTCATTGTTGCTATAGATGTTGCTGCTGTTGATATTTTACCATGCCTGAGATTGCAGAAGGTTAGTAAACTAATGTCGTCTAATGTAGGAAGTATTATTGACGACGAGTTTAGTTGCTCGTATTGTTCACTTTCTTCGCCTCCATTTGGTTGGCAAGAAGATTGCGAGCGCGTCAGCGATTGATGACAGCAATGTCTTTGGCAAAGTGGGAACTAGTGGCGCAGAAGTGGAAGCTGCATTAAAAGGAAAACAGGTAGAAAGCAATGATTTCAACGAGCCAGTTAATCGCCACTAATGGCCTGTAGGTCGTCTCAGCAGGCAATCAGGGCAAATACTTCTGGTGAGTAAATCCGGCGTGACTAGCGATGTGAGCCATGGAACACTCATGATGCGTAGGATAACAATGGATAAACCGCCTCACTTGGTGATGCACTTTGGCATGACGGGTAAGGCGTGATGTCCGGCATCCTTTACTTTCTGTGACTAACTGGAACAGGGTGGGTTCACATTAGAGGGGAGCAGACAGCATACACAAATTACTACAAAAAGACGAAGGATAGCGAGCTTAAAAATTGGCCACCGAAATTCTGGAAGTTCCAAATCAAGACAGAAGGCAAGCCAGAAGTGGAGGTAGCCTTCACCGACGCCCGTCGATTTGGTCGAGTTCGCCTGGTTGATTGCCCTGGTGCGGATATCCGAAAATACACTCCTCTTAAAGAGAACGGGCCAGACCCGGTCATTGATACTGATAGATTCACCGAAGAGTATTTGCGTGGCAAGATGCAGGCCCGTCACGTCCCGGTTAAAGCGCTCCTTTTAGACCAAGCCATGATCAGTGGCATTGGCAATTGGGTAGCCGACGAGACTCTGTATCAAGCTAAACTTCACCCGGAACAGTACAGCGATAGCTTCAGCGACGCTGAAATCAAGAAGCTATACGAATGCATTAGATATGTCTGCCAAACGGCGGTAGACAAGCTAGGAGACTCGGACCAGTTCCCAGAACATTGGCTCTTCAATCATCGCTGGGGGAAAGGAGGCAAGGGATCGTCAAGTAAACTACCCAATGGCGAGAAATTGGCGTTTATTACCGTTGGTGGCCGGACGAGCTGCTACGCGCCAGAAGTACAGAAGAAGACCGGTCAAGTTGTACCTGGAGCAAAGGCTCAACCGATCAAAGATGAATTAGACAAGGAGATGTTGCCTGCAAAGAAACCTCGCAGAAAGAAGCTTGAACAGGATGGAGTTGATCGTGGCGAGCCGTTAACTAAGAAAAAGAAGACTAGCATTGTAAAGAAGGAGGAGAATGAGGTTAAGTCAGAGCCTGGTGTCTCTTCAGGGAGAAGGCGTTCCACTCGACTACGGAACTGAATCATGGGCGTTGCGATTTATGGTGTATCATGCCTCATAATATGCTAGGAGCGCGGGATCACTTTTCTTGGACAATATTTGTTCAGCTTTCGCTTACTACTACAAGAATCTGGATTGCTCGCTGTATCTCTGAATTCATGCTCTACCAGGCTCACCGTTTCGTAAAGGTAGGCCATGAAAGCAGATACGATATCTCATTATGGGATGCATAAAAGCCTGAAAAGTCTACGATCCTGTAGTTGACTTATTACGACTACGAAGCTAGCACGAATTTAGAAGCAAGATTTGTGTGCCAATTTAAGAAAAGGAGCACGTTAAAGAAGAAAGGCTAATCGAGTCGCTTCCAAGAGTTTAACTATCATCATTGCTTCGCTGTATTCAGTCGCCATCCTCCAAACATAATCATAATCCCAGTTACACATGATAAATGAAAACTACGAATATTTCTCAATCTATCATGTTTCGCAATTGAAATCAAGGATTGTGCACCAGTCGGCTTGGCAATGCCCATCCGAGGTGTTGGCGCTCTGCCCCGCACCATGTCATACCAGCCGTCAAATAAGACAAAAGAGATAGACAGGAAATTCCGCTCAGTTCCAATCTAGCAAATGAAACGCCATCAATGCACGATGTTGGCTGATGGCTCAGCGTCTGTTTGCAAGATGCTGTATAATTTTGTTACGTGGCTGCTCCACAGAACCCACGTCAACCGGTTGACGATGTTTCTGTGATTCATCACAAGGCTATGAAACTTCACCGAGCAGCCCAACGGCATAGCGGTAGCCAGAACCATTTAACGCCACGGGTATAATACTGACGAGATTGTTAAATTGGTGACCATCTTTTCGATAGTTTAAGACTTGTAGCTGGATCTCCCGTCCAGCTTGAAGTGCGTGCCGCATTTTTGAGGCTGCCGGCTTGTCGTGCTTGGGCTTGCTCTTAGACTCGCCCCATGAGCTAGGATGCGGCTTTTGAAGGAATCGGCAATTTTGGCCGAGAACCTCTGCCTGTGAATAACCGGTGAGGTCACAGAATGCATCCGATGCGTACACTATGGGGTTGTCAGGCTGCTCAAGGTCACAGAGCACAAGAGCTACGGAGCAGTCGAGTTTCTCGATTTCGATTTGTGGGTTTGGTCGATTCCTAAGACTCATCTTAGGCTGAGTTAGTAACCACTTGGACAGGATATCTTCGAAAAGAATGCCTACCAATACGCCCATAATATCAAAGCCCGTTGCCGAATACAGGCCGGGATAGAAAACGGGTTCTGGCATGGTCTTCCAAGGACTTCTAGAAACACTGGATGGCTTCCCTTGTGTAGGAGGCAATGTTTCGGCTCGAAAATGGTACTATCACGAAATTCGTCAAGTCAGCATACTGATTATGCACTCGGCAACAAGTGTCAGAAAGCACCAAAGCTGCCAACCATGGGGAAGATGAAGGTTTTTCATTTACATCCAAGGCTTGGGCTTCCCAAGGATTCATGACGATCTCGACATGTGAGGCCATTTTGGAATAATGTGAAGTTGCGGAAGGGTTGTGAAAGAGGACCAACGTTGAACGACTCGGGACAGATTCCTGGGGTGAAAGAGGCACTAGTTTAATAGCAAGGCTAATACGCACCAAAACGCAAATATACAGCTTCTTAAGACCGTCTTAGAGCCATGTGCCGACTTGCCTAAGTGATGAGAGAGGCCGGGGCTGTGTTACATCTCACAACGTCGAGCAAGGATCCACCACGAACTCACGGGGGGCTTGGTCCGTAGGTGAAACCAAGCTTGTTAAGTCAAATGGAATGACTCCAGGCTTGGCAAGACGATGGACGGATGCAAAAGAACAGATCAAAGTGCGGAAAGCTCCTTGGTGACCGATCCAGAATGACGGCAGGCCAGGTGTGTATCGCGGCAACTGACATTGGAATTGAATCGCGGAGTATGGTCAATGCGTTACGCAACCACAACAGTGCCAGAAACGGGGACATATTGGTGAGAGACATTGCTAATTCGCCTATCTAAGGTGGCGTTGGGTTAGGCTTGGGCGTTCTTCTTGACAGCATGGAATTGTGATGGGCAGTACTCCGTACACGATGTCAGATCTTCGTGGGCTAAGGAGAAACATGGCGATCGAGAGGCGGACGTGGGCATTGCTAAATTGGTAGCTGGCACCAAGTGCTGGTCCACATCTGAGACTCGGGCCAGAAATCGAATCGCAGGGCGATCTAAGCAACTCGCAAGCGAAACGTAGTTAAGCCACTATCGAATCACACATCTTGGTTGCGAGCAATTAGAATTGGACTGTGGATCGGAGGGAGCATGGCAGAAACTGCAAGTCGCCGATTGCGCTGGGCGCGGGCTCGATACGTGGCCGATGCTAGCAAAGTAGTACTAGTAAGTGGCCTAGTTCCATCCTTCTGCTCGATCATGTTGGTCTTGTCGTAGTACCATCCGGAGCCGAAGCCAGTCGTCATGCTTGCCCGTCGTACGGGTACGGGTACGGGTCGAGCTTTCGAGCTGCATCATTGGGCTGTCCGTACGAGTAGATATGATGACAAGCCGCAGGGCTCGATCCGCATGAGCGACTTTTAGTGTACCGTGACTTGGTCTCACGATCTACACTAATTTCTTTGATGCCGCGCCATCGAAGGGCGGATGATGCAGTTTTCCGAGATTTCGATGTTGAGTCGTGCACCAGTTGACGTCTCCACCCGTCGTCAGACAAGATTATGGATAAACAATAGATGGGCCACGCGGAGTTGCGACCGGTGCTACCGTTGTACATAGACCAAAGGGCAAGCCGCAGGGTGCTCCGTCATGACCGCCGTCGTGATTTTGCGAGCGGCACTCGGTACTGGCTGACCAAGCCTAGTGCATTGTAAGAAAAGACAATATTCTGGAGCGGCAGTCAAAGCGGCAGTCAAGGTAAGGCCATTGTAGTTACATGACGTATGCCCTGGAAAGCCGTGTTTGTCTAGTAGTAGTATTGATGTTTCAATCGGGATGCAGACGGATGAGACATGACGATGATTGGACCCGATGCAAGGTGACGGCCCAGCATGGCAAATGGACTTTGCTATGACCCTCTTGGTGATTCTCAGCGTGTGGTGCGGAGTACTCCGTAGTTACTTGAGGAAACGAAGGTGTTCCATTCAATGTTGTGTCACGGCCAAATGGCCAAATGGCCAAATGGGGCGCCCGCCTGAGCGGAAGGAGCCTGGTTGTGCCTGCCTCGGGTGGCGGGGTGGCATTCGGGTGCCCACCATCCGAGCTCCGGCCTATTGACGCGTTCTGTCGCGTTCTTCCTTCAATGCACACCAACATCCATGGTGGCATGGTGGCATTCGCTTACTATCGAACTTCGAAATCACGGCACATCAGACTCACCTTGGCGCTCGCGACACAGCAGCGGCATTGCAACAGCTGGTTTTGAATATCACATCTGCCATGCCGCGACTGCTTAACCGCAGCCGCCCTTCTGGCATAGACTCCTCCCCTGCCCGCACCAGTTCATCTGCATCTCTACCCCGGTACCAACCGCCCTCATGCCCGCTCAACGACCGTGCCCGCCGTGCGCTGGGTGAGCTATCAGACAATCGCGGCACTCAACATTACGAATCTCACTTGAAAGACTCGGCGCGCCACCTTGGCCTCAGCGTTGGCGACCTCCATGAACGGCTACGAGCGCAACAAGACCGGTTACAGCTGCTGCAGGAGCGGCGAGAACAAAAGGGCACGAACAAGACGCCCGAGGAAGAACGCCTAGAGGCACACCTTGTCGAGCTGGAAAGAGAGGTCGACGAGCTTACCCACGAATCCGAGCAATCAATACGTGATGTAATCGACCACCGAGCCGAGATAGAAGACCAATCCGCCCTCTTGGGAGACTTGTACACCACCGCCGCCACGGCCACAGCTCCCAACACCGCAGAGATCCGCGCGCGCAGGGGCATAAAACAAGAGCCAGCACGCGACGAAGAGCAAGACGCCGAACAGCAACAAGGCGAAGAACCCGTCGCCAGCACTCTCGAAGCCTTCCGCAAAGGCCGAGCCACCAAACAAGCCGAATACGAACAACTCACGCCCCATCAACGATACGGCGTCAACAACGACTACGCCGGCTTCAAAAAGATCTGGCACGACGCTGCATCCGGCGAAGACGGACCCCCTCTACCCGATGCCTCGCGGTGGTTCCGCCCCGATGGACGGCCCGTCATGACTCGTCCGGGGGCAACCACTCGCCGTAGCACAGTTGGCCCAGCTGGCGATGACGACGATATCGCCGTTGCGAGGGAGGTGCTCAGTCTGAATTGTCCGCTTACACTCCGACAAATGGAGGAGCCGTACAGCAACGTCAAGTGCAAGCATACATTTGAGAAGTCGAGTATTTTGGATTACTTGCCCGCAAGAGGGGAGGTTCAGTGTCCGCAGACGGGATGTTCTCAGGTAAGCATGACCAAACTCGCCCTTTCATTTTCTCTCCCTCTGCGCCCCTTCTCAATACTTGTCCGTATTCCAACAAAGAGTATACCGCTAACTTCCATCTTAGAAATTCGCCAAAGCCAGATTTCAGCAGGAATTCTATCTTGACGAAGCTATTCTGCGGCGTATCCAGCGCATCAAGCAGACTCAGCGCACGCGCGACGATATGGACGTCGACGACGACGAGGATGCTGCTGGTGAGGAGGATGCCTCGCTGGTGTTTGGACAGGAAAGAAGGGTGCCTGGGAGAATACCCAAGACGGAGAGGACATAGACCGTTGTCTACATAGAATAAATGATGACGAGGAATGATACCCAGCTGAGATGATTTGGAATACCAGGTGACGAATTGCAAACCTGCGGGATAACGGTGCAAAGTTGGGCGGTCGCCTTGGCACGCATGAGCAGTATTCGTGTCTTACTTGTATGACGTTATATTATGCGAGTAAGGATACTCCTCTACGCGTCTAGACAACCCCATGATGCCCTTCCAATATACCTTTTTTCCTATGCAGAAGAACCTGTTCGCTAGAATTACCCAATATGCCATGTCGTCCGTCTTGCGGGTTAAATAAAACACGCCAATCCCTGTCCATTACTCTATTTCACTATCAAAACAAATGTATTTTAATCCAACGTCCGTGGAATGTTCAAAAGAGAGGTTTTACGCCTTGTATAACCCAGAAGCTTGAAATCATAATCCAAAGCATGCCAGAGGGTAATGAACGAACCTCGCTTCCACTATCTGGCAATTTCGTAGCCGTGAACACACCTGTCAAAGGCATGGTTGTACTGGTGGGTTGGCCGGATGTAGAAGATGGAGTTTGAGTGGTGGCCAGTGGCCAGTCGGCTGATTTGCTGTACAGAATGCCGTTGATGACTGTACCGTTGCCTGTGGAAGCGACATCTTGAGCATCGTGGTCGCATGTACCTGCAAATGCGCGGATGTAACATGTTGTCGACGGCATTACCGGCAGTTTATCTTCATGTGAAGCCACATTGGGTCCTGTCGTGTTGAAAGAGGAGAGGGAGATGGTCTCGCCGGTAGATACTGATGTGCCCATCACGATGCGTGCAAAAACTTGGAACGCTGTCTCGGGTTGGTACCATGCTACGGAGTGTCCGGCTTGATAAATGCGACTAAATGATAAGTTGCCGTACTGACGAACAAGGCCACCGATGTACGAGTCGTTGACAACAATAGGAGCGTAACCAGCCGCAGGGAACCCTGTGGCATAATCAGAGCCGGTTTGGTTTGCAACGGCGAGAGACACAGCTTGTCCGCCGAGCCAGTTGCAAATGTAGTCTCTGTCGCCGTACATGAGGCCAATACGGACGCCTCGAGTTAGGAGATCTGCCAATCGTTTAACGTTACCGCCTCTTGACAAGTCGCCCGTGTCCCGGAATGCCTGGAACACTGCATTGCTTGTCATGGTGTAGTTGATGGGAGAGCCAATGGTTTGGAGCACATGGCCCTGGTTGACGTAGTCGAGAAATCGTAATGGCGGATAAGGATTCTGAGAAGGGGCGGCAAGATCGTACACGCTGCGGCCACTGTTGCCGTACGGTTCCTGGAGAGCAAGGCACGCTGCATTTGCGGCATCGCATAACCGATTCGCTTCGGGCTGGTTTCCATGCCCTGCTGGATCCTGAGCCATGGCCACGGCCGCGCATTGTTGAACCTTGTCTCTACAGCCACCTGGCGCACCGAATCTGCGACTGTAGTATGCTGCTGCCTCGTCCGACAAAGCCTTATATTTGTATGTGTTGTTGTTGGCAAAGATGGGATAGAAGGGGACTTGGATCTCCTGATCAATGCAGCCATTCACAATTCCCAGAGAACTGAGACGGACCTCTACCGTCGAACTGGCATCCAACTGCCCGGTAGTTCGCTTCTGATTTTGCATCTCCCACTGCTCTGCAAATATTGGCCCATATCTTCCGCCGTAGCTTTCGGCAAAGAGGTTGACAGCTATTGAACTATTGGGCTGAGGCTGATACTGGGGAAATGTGGTGAGGAAGCCTTGGATCAAG